AGTGATTTTAGTTAGTTTGTTTGTTTGTGGAATTTCGCACAAAATCACTAGAGGTCTATCGGCGCGAGCCGTCCTTAATTTTAAAGTGATAGCTAATCAGCATTACCCACCGCCAACTCTTGCGATACTCTTTTACCAACGAATAGTGGGACTGACCATAAAAATTATAACGCTCCAATGGCTGAAAGGGCTAGCATGTTCGGTGACAGGATTCGAGCCCGCGACCCGTCGAGTGCACTAACCACCAGGACATGCCAGGCCGAGTGATTTTATTTCAGTTCATTCAAGAAGCACTTGGACTCGCTCCAAGCTCAGTTGTGAACGTTATGCTGGTGAAATTTGGTCTAATTAGCACACAACAATTTCAAGTTCGTTAAAGACCAGACTGTTTAAATGTGTTCTAAGGTGATTTTAGTCGCGAGTTTCAGACACCAGAGCCACATGAGTTCAATTACTGTTATAACTGTAATGTATGCAACATATAATTTAGAATCACAACTATATGAAGAAATATATTTTTTATTTTGTTTTTCGCTTTTCAGCGTAATTTATGACTGCTTGTAATATCTATGAAAATCATGTAATATTTTTAAGTAATATATATATTCACGTTCAAATATTATATAAACATCAAGAATGCTTCTCAAAACAGCCTACAAAGTTAGGCAGTACAAACAATGGTTATAAAGAAGTGAACACGACACATGTAATTAACCGAGAAGCATACAGCGTCCAGTTTTTCATATGAACACAGATACATCCATATATCATGAATGCGGTATGGAATCCGAGTTGATCCGTATTATCACCATACTCAACTGTTGTTACACATACTTACTTGCTAGCCGTAAGTAAGCCTTTCAGGAGGTCACAAGTTAGACCCCGAGTCCTCAGAGCGGACGAAAGTTTGCTCGTTTATTGTACATATTCACGAGCACGTTATTGCAATACTGGTATAGCACTAAAGATGGTTATGGTATAGCACTAAAGATGGTTATGGTATAGCACTAAAGATGGTTATGGTGTAGGACTAAAGATGGTTATGGTGTAGCACTAAAGATGGTTATGGTGTAGGACTAAAGATGGTTATGGTATAGCACTAAAGGTGGTACTGGTATAGCACTAAAGATGGTTATGGTGTAGGACTAAAGATGGTTACAATGCACATTCCCTTAAGAATCGCGGGGTTTAAAAAAACAATTTTGGTAAATATTTTTGGACTCTATATCAACATAGATTTCCTTTCGTCTCTACCCTTTGTGTGTGTGTGTGTGTACCAGTAGTCGAGTTGAAATTAAGATACAATTTATCTCTATAACAGTAAAATTTGTTAATTTTTGGTAGTTGTAGTGACTTATATACAACAATAAAAACTCTACCAAATAAAATCGATATAAGAATGCAAATGTATGATAATAAAACAAACTTCTCCTAAACATAATTCAAACTTCGATAATATCATAATATAAACAAGCTGACATATATATATATATATGTGAAATTATAAGAACAAGACCATGAGACATGTAAACAAGCGTTCTATATAAATATATGTGTTGTCATATAAACAAACATTCTATGACACATCAAACAATGCCAACGGTTATACCATAACCAAGTTGATAATGTAAATATAGAAGCTAATATTTACTTTCTGTATTTACAATAATGTAAAAGTGATAAGATTTATATCGTAATCTCAAAAATCATGTTGTAAGTAACAGAGTAATAATGTAAGTAATCACTAAGAATTATCTTACGTTATAATTTGTTGTCTGAAGTATTTGAGTTTACTTTCTGACCAGTCTTTAAAAAAAATAAAACAATAAAACAATATTTTAATTAATTAGCAGATGTATAAGAACAACCAGCAGTTTATTCCACTTTTAAACATGCAGGTTGAAATTAACATTACTTGATACTAAGTAATTTAGACGAAAATTCCTCCAAAACGCTGAAGCCTTGCTCTAGCTTAAAAAGAGGGTATGAATTGTGAATAGTTTGTCTCCACTACAGAAATAAATACACAGTTTTACATTTGGCAGTGATCGCTCTAATGTTAATTATTTTCAGCAATATACAGAGGAAAAATCTACATGTCACTGCTAACTACATAACTGATTCAGTTAGATTAATAATCTGTTTACAACTGATCCAGTCAGATTAATGATATGTTTACAAATGATCCAGTTACATTAATAGTCTGTATAATAATATATCATGTTGAACGACACTAAGTAAGACGATTACAACATCTAGCACCTGCTTATGTGTCATGTTGATAGCCCATCATTTTGTAATCGTATGAAAATCAATATATTTATATATTTTTGTAGTG